TCAAGCGAGAGGTGGTTTCGAGTACTTCGTTATGTTTATCGATGATTACTCGAGATGTGGGTACATTTTCATTCTGCACCGCAAGTCTGAATGCTTTGAGAAGTTCTTGGAGTATAAGGCAGTTGTGGCGAAGCAGTTAGGAAAAAGTATCAAGTCATTACGATCGGATCGTGGTGGGGAATATCTCTCAAATGAATTTAGGAGCTACTTGACGGATAATGGGATTACATCCCAGCTGACTGCGCCTGGCACGCCTCAGCAGAATGGCGTAGCAGAACGGAGGAACAAGACTCTTATGGAAATGGTTAGGGCAATGATGAGTTATAGTACATTACCAGATTCGTTTTGGGGATATGCCCTAGAAACAGCGGTATACATTCTAAATAGAGTACCTTCTAAATCAGTACCATCTACACCATTGGAGTTGTGGTCTGGGCATAAGCCCAGTCTAAGATATCTCAGGATTTGGGGTAGCCCAGCACATGTGCTGAGAACCGATACTGAAAAGTTGGAACCAAGATCAGAAGTAAGGCTGTTTGTGGGATATTCTAAGGAAACGAAAGGTGGTCTATTTTATAGTCCCGAGGACCAGAAAGTAATCGTTAGCACGAATGCTAGGTTCTTGGAAGAAGACTATGTCTTAGATCATAAGCCCAGTAGTAGACATGTTCTTGAGGAGTTAAAGGGAGTGAGTACTTCAATACCGAGTGTGCTAGATGTTACACCAAAGTATTGCAACACGTATCGCTGATGATGCACCTGAGCAGGTAGTACCTCGTCGTAGTGGGAGGGTTGTCCGGCAACCCGAACGGTTCATGGGTCTGGGAGAGTCTTCTGAGGCCGTCCAAGACGTTCTTGAAATCGACCCATGGACATACAATGAGGCACTCCAAGATCGGGACGCAGAGTCTTGGCAAAAGGCGATGAAGTCTGAATTAGAGTCAATGGACACTAATCAGGTCTGGGATCTTGTAGAGCCACCCAGTGGCTGTCGAGCCATTGGATGCAAGTGGGTCTATAAGAGAAAGAGAGGATCAGATGGGAAGGTTGAAACCTTCAAAGCTGGGCTTGTTGCGAAAGGGTACACTCGGAAAGAAGGGATCGATTATGAGGAAACCTTTTCGCCGGTAGCCATGCTCAAATCCATCAGGATTCTCTTGGCTGTGGCCGCTCATTTGGATTATGAGATTTGGCAAATGGATGTTAAGACCGCTTTCCTTAACGGGAATTTGGACGAGGACATCTATATGCAGCAACCAGAAGGATTCATTGCAAAGGGCCAAGAGCATCTGGTCTGCAAGCTGAAGAGGTCCATTTATGGACTGAAGCAAGCTTCGAGGTCTTGGAACATCCGTTTTGACGAGGTTGTCCAATCGTATGGATTTACCCAATGTCCGGATGAGCACTGTGTGTACAAGGAAAGTGATGGTAACGTGGTGGTGTTTCTAGTGTTGTACGTGGATGATATTCTTCTCATTGGAAATAG